GAGAGCAGATTCTACAGATGAAGGCAAAGCTGGAAGAAAATCTTCAAGAGGCATCATCTTATGTTCAAAAGGAACACTCTACTATGGAGACAATTTTAAAGGCCATTGACGATCGCCTCGAAAAGAGAAATATGCTAAGACAGTATGAACATGCACTTGGATTAAGGAAGCACTACTTCAAATCACAGAAGCAATAAGAGAATGACACTTGATCACAAAGGGGGAGATTGTTGGAGATATTTTATTGTGAATCAAGTTGGTCATAGATTAGCTTTATATTTAATCCTTGTATTTAAATAGTGCATAAATTAGATAGAAATCAGGCCAAGTGTTAGGCCCATTTAAACAGGCCAAAAGCCTGTTACGCCTAACCTAAACCTCGCCTATAAAAAGGGAGCCGAGGTTTAGGAAAAGGTTGAACGTCGTACTTATTATTTCATAGCCTTACGCTTATCATTCTGCTGTACGTTCCACGGTTTATCAAAGAAGGTTTTACGGTGATTCATTCTGTTTCATCTTTACGTTTAATCTTCCTTTGTTAGATCGATTATTCATTGCTGTTACAGAAACAGGGACTAACAAATACAATTGTTCAAGCCACACTTGGCATAATTCGGCATACAAGCCCCCAAAGTAATTATTCAAAAATAATATCCATGAGCATTAACGTAATTGTTTTTAAAACAGAACGGAAGAAGCACGAACCACATCTTCTCCCCTTGATCCTCCCGAAGCCGCGGGCGATGGTAGCAACCTTCAAGTCCTACCTGAAACTGTGAGGTGGCCTCCCCCATGAAGGGGAGGTCAGTACTTGGAAATATTTGACAAGTACAATAGCAACTATACTAAGTATAATCAACGTTTTAATTTCCAAGACCCTCAACTTAGGGTACTATTATATTATAGGTCATAACCCTCGGTTACCCCTTTTTCTTTTAACTGTACTTACTTTATATAAAGTCAAGTAGTCGGCCCGTAGGCCCATATTCGTTTAGAATTCATCGTTTCCATTCCCCCGTGACCGCAAGTCACGATAACCCCGTGGGGTCCCATCGAGCCCCAATTGTATAGCATGGGCTCGGCCTAACTACATTTCTATACAATCCTCTACTCAATATATCATATCAAAATTTGTATGGCAAGGGCTCGGCCCAACTACGTTTCAATACCAACCATAACTTCGTGGCAAGGGCTCGGCCCAACTACGTTTCCACGGAGGTCACATATACATGGCAAGGGCTCGGCCCAAATACGTTTCCATGGTAATCATATTACATGGCATGGGCTCGGCCCAACTACATTTCCATGTCATCCTAGAGTCCAACTCTAATTATTTTCATAATTACATTCTCAAGCAAATCCTATGCCTAGAATCAATTTCCTTGGGTAGCCTTAGGCCTACCCCTATCACACCTTAGTGTTCATATAATTCAACCTTAAAGTATCTCTTAAGACTACTTAAGGCATACTCATTTACAATCCTATCTCTTAGGATTAATTCCATCATTTATTTATATTAATCTCCCGACTAGTATTCCAATACTAGTCGGATAATCATAGAACCGCCAAGTTCTTAAGTCATAGCCAATTAGTTCATCTCAATTGATTTTCCAATCCAAATATAATTTAATCCAAATATCAAAACTATCACTTTTAATCATTCATGAATTTCATACATGGAGTAAAAGTATATTTTATCACAAGGTCATCATAGTAATTTCATTAACATGCTGTTCCATTCATTTCACATAATCATACACAATTATTCTAAATTTGTATATCATGCTTCACTCACTCATATCAATATTATTTTCATTTAGGCATTATTAATCATTAATAATCCATGACAATCCCATCTAATTACTTTAGGCAATCTTATGAATTTAACCCACTAATTATAAGCAATATAGTCAGTCATCCTCACCTTATGAAGTGCTGAAATAGTTGCCTTTGCTAAGCCCCTCGATCAATCCCCGTTCCAGGCCGATTGAAGGTGTAAAACTGAGCTGCTGGGCAAAATCCGGGCGGCTTTCACGAAAGCCGGGCGGCTTTCGTGTTCTGCAGAAACGGGCAGCTCCCTTAAAGTGGCGGTTTCCGGCGATTTCGACTCCTATCGATTCACCAACTCTTCTAAGTTAAATATCACCAATTTATATCAATATTCTACACTTTTAAACGTGTAGAATATCATGTTTAATCCCCCATATGATTTCTTAAAAATCATACACCATAAAACTAGTTAAAGAACAATAGTTATGTTCTTACCTTAAACACAAACTATTTCTTGTGGATTTTCCTAGCTTCTCTCTTCCTCCAACTAGAGCTTTTCTTTCCCTTGGGATTCTCTTGCTTTGTGCTGGCCGAATGACACAAGGTAGGGGGGAGGCATCTCCCCTCATCCAATTAGAAGAGATGCCAAGAGTGGGACATGGAGCATGTTCATTTGTTTCTAGGAGGCTTCCTCCCATTGATTGTGCGTACCAGCACACTTATTTGCTCCCCTCTCCTTCTCACTCAGTCCATCAGCACTCCTAAAAACGTGGGGTGGCCCCCACTTATGTGGGAGGTCATCCCGTTATGTCCCGGTATGTATAATCGGCCCCGAAAGTTGTATTTCTCGGTCCGTTTTAATTATATTTTATTTTATCGGGCCAAATAAAATATATCACGTGTTCCTAATAATTATGGGCCTTTAGAATAGATGTACATTCCCCAACATTAATTTAGGAGTCTCCGAAACTCATTTCGGGCTGTTATCCGTTAAATTACCAATACCGGTAATTGGGCCCCGTTTGACCAACCGGTCAACCCCATGCTTTTCTTATGGACCAAATAAAATATCCACCACCATATACATATTATCTAGATCAAGATGAATATAATATGTGGTTCGGGAATTATCGGGCGGTCCCCGTCCCGCTGTGGGCCCCACATGCAATTTACTATTCACGTAAAAGAAATAATAAAAATTTACAATTACGCAAATTCATAAATCATCTTTCAAGGTTTATTACATAATTTACTAAAAGTAAATATGCTCGGGGTCGGTGTTACAAGTTCACCCCCCTTAATGGGAATTTCGTCCCCGAAATTCACAATGCTCATTCAAACAAAAACGCGTATTGCTCTTTCATCAAAGCTTCCGTCTCCCAAGTTTCCTCCTCAACTCGGTCACTTTTCCAAAGGATTTTAACCATTGGAAATTTCTTGCTTCTCAATTTCTTGACTTGCCTGTCAAGTATCTTCACCGGTTGCACGACATAATTCAAGTCTTCCCTTATTTCCACGGGTGGTTTTTCTAATACATGAGATGGATCCGGCATATACTTCTTAAGCATGGACACATGGAATACGTTATGTATCTTCTCCAATTCTGGAGTCAACTGTAATCGGTATGCCACGGCCCCAATCCTCTCAAGAACCACGAATGGCCCTATGTATCGTGGGTTAAGTTTCCCTCGGCTCTGAAATCGGATGATTCCCTTCCAAGGTGAAACTTTCAAAAATACTTCATCTCCCACCTTAAACTCCAAGGCTCTTCGGCGCTTATCGGCATAACTTTTCTGTCTATCCTGGGCCGCCTTAAGTCTCTCACGAATCATCTTCACCTTAGACTTGGTGATCTCCACCAATTCTGTGCTCTCGAGTTTGGCCATGCCAACCTCATCCCAACACAACGGTGTACGACATCTCCTCCCATACAATGCCTCGTATGGAGGCATGCCTATACTCGCCTGATAACTGTTGTTATAGGCAAACTCCACAAGTGACAAATGGTTGTCCCAACTCCCTTGGAACTCCAATGCACAGGCTCTCAACATATCCTCTAATATCTGTATAACCCGCTCAGATTGCCCATCCGTTTGTGGATGAAAAGCTGTACTGAATTTCAATTTGGTCCCCATAGATTCTTGGAATTTCGGCCAAAATCGTGATGTGAATCGCGGATCTCTATCGGATACAATGGTTATAGGAACCCCATGTAGCCTCACGATCTCGTCCACATACAACTTGGCTAACCTCTCCAGTGCATAGGTAGTGTTGATAGGTAGAAAGTGTGCACTCTTCGTGAGCCTATCGACCACCACCCATACGGCATCATAGTTCTTAACCATTCGTGGCAGCCCCACCACGAAATCCATAGTCACGTGCTCCCACTTCCATTCGGGAATGGAAAGTGGCTGTAGTAACCCAGCCGGATGCTGATGTTCTGCCTTAACTTGCTAACAAGTAAGACACCTACTGATGTACTCGGCTATTTCCCTCTTCATACCCGACCACCAGTAACTTTCCTTCAAATCACGGTACATCTTCGTGCCTCCCGGGTGCATGGCATACGCCGATAAATGAGCCTCCTCTAAGATGGACTTTCGGAGCTCATCATCCAACGGTACACACACTCTCTCCCTGAAATCCTCAACCGGTCCCGCTAGCATGCGTTCACGGATCTTCATAAGTTCTTCGTCGGTTTCTTGACCCTTCTTGATTTCATCGAGTAATGTAGGTCTCACCTCGAATCTAGCTAACAAGGCACCATCGTTAGATACCTCCAATTGGGCTCTCAATGCCCTCAAGCTAGTCAATAATGCCCCAGATGAATTCTTTCGGCTCAAGGCATCCGCTACCACGTTGGCTTTACCGGGGTGGTACTCGATAACTAGATGATAGTCTTTTATCAACTCCATCCACCGTCTCTGTCTCATGTTTAACTCTTTTTGAGTAAACACGTACTTCAGGCTTTTGTGGTCGGTGTATATATGACATGTTTCCCCGTAGAGATAATGTCTCCATATCTTCAATGCGAACACCACCGCCCCCAACTCTAAGTCATGAGTGGGATAATTTACCTCATGCTTCTTCAACTGTCGTGAAGCATAGGCAATCACCCTCCCATTCTGCATCAAGACACATCCAAGCCCCTGGATGCTTGCGTCGCTGTAAACATCGTACCCCACACCCTGTTTGGGTAGTGCGAGTACCGGTGCCTCGGTCAATCTCTTCTTCAGTTCAAGGAATCCCTTCTCACATCGGTCATCCCATACAAACTTGGCCCCCTTTCGAGTGAGCTTTGTCAATGGCGATGCCAAAACTGAGAACTTCTCCACAAATTTTCGGTAGTACCCTGCCAATCCAAGGAAGCTACGAATTTCCTTGACGTTCTTTGGCCTCTCCCATTCAGTAATGGCCTCAATCTTCTTGTTATCTACGGCAATCCCTGATCCTGAAACCACATGCCCGAGGAAGCCAATCTCCCATAGCCAAAATTCACATTTGGAAAACTTGGCGTAGAGTTGCTTCTCCCGTAGTGTCTCAAGAACAAGTATCAAGTGCTCCTCATGCTCTTCTTCACTCTTTGAGTAAATCAAGATATCATCTATGACCACAATCACAAACCGGTCCAAGTATTTATGAAATACCCGGTTCATCAAGTCCATAAATGCCGCCGGGGCGTTGGTTAGCCCGAACGACATAACTAGGAACTCGAAATGACCATACCTTGTGCGGAATGCACTCTTCGGTATGTCATCCTCCTTTATTTTCAGTTGGTGGTACCCCGACCTCAAGTCAATCTTCGAAAATATTGTCGCTCCTCGGAGCTGATCAAACAAGTCATCAATCCTAGGCAAGGGATACCTATTCTTGATTGTGACCTTGTTCAGTTGACGATAGTCAATGCACATTCGAAGTGTTGCACGGAAGAAGCACGAACCACATCTTCTCCCCTTGATCCTCCCGAAGCCGCGGGCGATGGTAGCAACCTTCAAGTCCTACCTGAAACTGTGAGGTGGCCTCCCCCATGAAGGGGAGGTCAGTACTTGGAAATATTTGACAAGTACAATAGCAACTATACTAAGTATAATCAACGTTTTAATTTCCAAGACCCTCAACTTAGGGTACTATTATATTATAGGTCATAACCCTCGGTTACCCCTTTTTCTTTTAACTGTACTTACTTTATATAAAGTCAAGTAGTCGGCCCGTAGGCCCATATTCGTTTAGAATTCATCGTTTCCATTCCCCCGTGACCGCAAGTCACGATAACCCCGTGGGGTCCCATCGAGCCCCAATTGTATAGCATGGGCTCGGCCTAACTACATTTCTATACAATCCTCTACTCAATATATCATATCAAAATTTGTATGGCAAGGGCTCGGCCCAACTACGTTTCAATACCAACCATAACTTCGTGGCAAGGGCTCGGCCCAACTACGTTTCCACGGAGGTCACATATACATGGCAAGGGCTCGGCCCAAATACGTTTCCATGGTAATCATATTACATGGCATGGGCTCGGCCCAACTACATTTCCATGTCATCCTAGAGTCCAACTCTAATTATTTTCATAATTACATTCTCAAGCAAATCCTATGCCTAGAATCAATTTCCTTGGGTAGCCTTAGGCCTACCCCTATCACACCTTAGTGTTCATATAATTCAACCTTAAAGTATCTCTTAAGACTACTTAAGGCATACTCATTTACAATCCTATCTCTTAGGATTAATTCCATCATTTATTTATATTAATCTCCCGACTAGTATTCCAATACTAGTCGGATAATCATAGAACCGCCAAGTTCTTAAGTCATAGCCAATTAGTTCATCTCAATTGATTTTCCAATCCAAATATAATTTAATCCAAATATCAAAACTATCACTTTTAATCATTCATGAATTTCATACATGGAGTAAAAGTATATTTTATCACAAGGTCATCATAGTAATTTCATTAACATGCTGTTCCATTCATTTCACATAATCATACACAATTATTCTAAATTTGTATATCATGCTTCACTCACTCATATCAATATTATTTTCATTTAGGCATTATTAATCATTAATAATCCATGACAATCCCATCTAATTACTTTAGGCAATCTTATGAATTTAACCCACTAATTATAAGCAATATAGTCAGTCATCCTCACCTTATGAAGTGCTGAAATAGTTGCCTTTGCTAAGCCCCTCGATCAATCCCCGTTCCAGGCCGATTGAAGGTGTAAAACTGAGCTGCTGGGCAAAATCCGGGCGGCTTTCACGAAAGCCGGGCGGCTTTCGTGTTCTGCAGAAACGGGCAGCTCCCTTAAAGTGGCGGTTTCCGGCGATTTCGACTCCTATCGATTCACCAACTCTTCTAAGTTAAATATCACCAATTTATATCAATATTCTACACTTTTAAACGTGTAGAATATCATGTTTAATCCCCCATATGATTTCTTAAAAATCATACACCATAAAACTAGTTAAAGAACAATAGTTATGTTCTTACCTTAAACACAAACTATTTCTTGTGGATTTTCCTAGCTTCTCTCTTCCTCCAACTAGAGCTTTTCTTTCCCTTGGGATTCTCTTGCTTTGTGCTGGCCGAATGACACAAGGTAGGGGGGAGGCATCTCCCCTCATCCAATTAGAAGAGATGCCAAGAGTGGGACATGGAGCATGTTCATTTGTTTCTAGGAGGCTTCCTCCCATTGATTGTGCGTACCAGCACACTTATTTGCTCCCCTCTCCTTCTCACTCAGTCCATCAGCACTCCTAAAAACGTGGGGTGGCCCCCACTTATGTGGGAGGTCATCCCGTTATGTCCCGGTATGTATAATCGGCCCCGAAAGTTGTATTTCTCGGTCCGTTTTAATTATATTTTATTTTATCGGGCCAAATAAAATATATCACGTGTTCCTAATAATTATGGGCCTTTAGAATAGATGTACATTCCCCAACATTAATTTAGGAGTCTCCGAAACTCATTTCGGGCTGTTATCCGTTAAATTACCAATACCGGTAATTGGGCCCCGTTTGACCAACCGGTCAACCCCATGCTTTTCTTATGGACCAAATAAAATATCCACCACCATATACATATTATCTAGATCAAGATGAATATAATATGTGGTTCGGGAATTATCGGGCGGTCCCCGTCCCGCTGTGGGCCCCACATGCAATTTACTATTCACGTAAAAGAAATAATAAAAATTTACAATTACGCAAATTCATAAATCATCTTTCAAGGTTTATTACATAATTTACTAAAAGTAAATATGCTCGGGGTCGGTGTTACAAGTTCACCCCCCTTAATGGGAATTTCGTCCCCGAAATTCACAATGCTCATTCAAACAAAAACGCGTATTGCTCTTTCATCAAAGCTTCCGTCTCCCAAGTTTCCTCCTCAACTCGGTCACTTTTCCAAAGGATTTTAACCATTGGAAATTTCTTGCTTCTCAATTTCTTGACTTGCCTGTCAAGTATCTTCACCGGTTGCACGACATAATTCAAGTCTTCCCTTATTTCCACGGGTGGTTTTTCTAATACATGAGATGGATCCGGCATATACTTCTTAAGCATGGACACATGGAATACGTTATGTATCTTCTCCAATTCTGGAGTCAACTGTAATCGGTATGCCACGGCCCCAATCCTCTCAAGAACCACGAATGGCCCTATGTATCGTGGGTTAAGTTTCCCTCGGCTCTGAAATCGGATGATTCCCTTCCAAGGTGAAACTTTCAAAAATACTTCATCTCCCACCTTAAACTCCAAGGCTCTTCGGCGCTTATCGGCATAACTTTTCTGTCTATCCTGGGCCGCCTTAAGTCTCTCACGAATCATCTTCACCTTAGACTTGGTGATCTCCACCAATTCTGTGCTCTCGAGTTTGGCCATGCCAACCTCATCCCAACACAACGGTGTACGACATCTCCTCCCATACAATGCCTCGTATGGAGGCATGCCTATACTCGCCTGATAACTGTTGTTATAGGCAAACTCCACAAGTGACAAATGGTTGTCCCAACTCCCTTGGAACTCCAATGCACAGGCTCTCAACATATCCTCTAATATCTGTATAACCCGCTCAGATTGCCCATCCGTTTGTGGATGAAAAGCTGTACTGAATTTCAATTTGGTCCCCATAGATTCTTGGAATTTCGGCCAAAATCGTGATGTGAATCGCGGATCTCTATCGGATACAATGGTTATAGGAACCCCATGTAGCCTCACGATCTCGTCCACATACAACTTGGCTAACCTCTCCAGTGCATAGGTAGTGTTGATAGGTAGAAAGTGTGCACTCTTCGTGAGCCTATCGACCACCACCCATACGGCATCATAGTTCTTAACCATTCGTGGCAGCCCCACCACGAAATCCATAGTCACGTGCTCCCACTTCCATTCGGGAATGGAAAGTGGCTGTAGTAACCCAGCCGGATGCTGATGTTCTGCCTTAACTTGCTAACAAGTAAGACACCTACTGATGTACTCGGCTATTTCCCTCTTCATACCCGACCACCAGTAACTTTCCTTCAAATCACGGTACATCTTCGTGCCTCCCGGGTGCATGGCATACGCCGATAAATGAGCCTCCTCTAAGATGGACTTTCGGAGCTCATCATCCAACGGTACACACACTCTCTCCCTGAAATCCTCAACCGGTCCCGCTAGCATGCGTTCACGGATCTTCATAAGTTCTTCGTCGGTTTCTTGACCCTTCTTGATTTCATCGAGTAATGTAGGTCTCACCTCGAATCTAGCTAACAAGGCACCATCGTTAGATACCTCCAATTGGGCTCTCAATGCCCTCAAGCTAGTCAATAATGCCCCAGATGAATTCTTTCGGCTCAAGGCATCCGCTACCACGTTGGCTTTACCGGGGTGGTACTCGATAACTAGATGATAGTCTTTTATCAACTCCATCCACCGTCTCTGTCTCATGTTTAACTCTTTTTGAGTAAACACGTACTTCAGGCTTTTGTGGTCGGTGTATATATGACATGTTTCCCCGTAGAGATAATGTCTCCATATCTTCAATGCGAACACCACCGCCCCCAACTCTAAGTCATGAGTGGGATAATTTACCTCATGCTTCTTCAACTGTCGTGAAGCATAGGCAATCACCCTCCCATTCTGCATCAAGACACATCCAAGCCCCTGGATGCTTGCGTCGCTGTAAACATCGTACCCCACACCCTGTTTGGGTAGTGCGAGTACCGGTGCCTCGGTCAATCTCTTCTTCAGTTCAAGGAATCCCTTCTCACATCGGTCATCCCATACAAACTTGGCCCCCTTTCGAGTGAGCTTTGTCAATGGCGATGCCAAAACTGAGAACTTCTCCACAAATTTTCGGTAGTACCCTGCCAATCCAAGGAAGCTACGAATTTCCTTGACGTTCTTTGGCCTCTCCCATTCAGTAATGGCCTCAATCTTCTTGTTATCTACGGCAATCCCTGATCCTGAAACCACATGCCCGAGGAAGCCAATCTCCCATAGCCAAAATTCACATTTGGAAAACTTGGCGTAGAGTTGCTTCTCCCGTAGTGTCTCAAGAACAAGTATCAAGTGCTCCTCATGCTCTTCTTCACTCTTTGAGTAAATCAAGATATCATCTATGACCACAATCACAAACCGGTCCAAGTATTTATGAAATACCCGGTTCATCAAGTCCATAAATGCCGCCGGGGCGTTGGTTAGCCCGAACGACATAACTAGGAACTCGAAATGACCATACCTTGTGCGGAATGCACTCTTCGGTATGTCATCCTCCTTTATTTTCAGTTGGTGGTACCCCGACCTCAAGTCAATCTTCGAAAATATTGTCGCTCCTCGGAGCTGATCAAACAAGTCATCAATCCTAGGCAAGGGATACCTATTCTTGATTGTGACCTTGTTCAGTTGACGATAGTCAATGCACATTCGAAGTGTTGCATCTTTCTTTTTCACGAAAAGGACCGGTGCTCCCCACGGAGAGTGACTCGGCCTTATGAAACCGTTATCCAATAACTCTTGCAATTGGGTTTTCAACTCGTTAAGTTCAGCGGGTGCCATTCTGTATGGCGGTATAGAGATTGGTTTGGTGCCGGGTTCGACCTCGATCACGAACTCAATCTCCCTATCGGGTGGAAGTCCCGGCAAGTCTTTTGGGAAGACATCCGGATACTTGCACACCACTCTCACATCGTTGATGTCTACCTCTTCTTTGGTTTTGTCCACCACATAAGCTAGATATGCGTGGCATCCTTTTCTCATCATATTCCTCGCTCTCACGGCAGATATGATACAACTGTTTGATTTGCCTCTATCTCCCTCGAAGCGTAAGGTCAACCCTTCACCGCCTTCGAGTTCAAGAATCTTTGTGTAGCAATCGACCCTAGCATGATGTTTCTCAAGCCAATCCATCCCGAGGATTGCATCAAACTCGATCATACTCAGCGGCACGAAATCACACGTCAAGTTCTGTCCCTCCACCTCCACCTCACACGATGGATAGTGGCTACCTCTCTCGATATCATCCCCTAGCGGCGTGGACACCAATAGGGTTTGAGTCATTGGTACAAGTGGTCCGTTGAATCCGCTGGCGAACGCCTCACTCACAAATGATCGTTGCTCCCCGATATCAATAAGGATCCTTGCGTCTCTCACGTTTATCTTTAGTGTTCCTACATTCATAAGTAATGTAAGACACACCACCTAATTGATAGGCTTGTTTCTTAAGTCGTAGAGTATGTTGGTAGTGGTTCGGGTGGGGTCCGTTTGACACCCGTCCGAAAATTCCCGGTTTCTGACCCTTAGAACCGTTCTGGCATCGACCTCGGTGAAAGCCGGCCGCTTTTCACGAAAGCCAGCCGGTTTTCGACTGCGAGAATAATTCTCAGTATTTAATCACGAAAGCCGGGCAGCTTTTACGAAAGCCGGGCGGTTTTCGTCGTCGTAGTTTTTATTCAGGGAAAGGTTTCGAAGCCGACCGGTTTCTACGAAACCCGGCCGGGTTTCAGCAGCGCAGGAATCCCCAGGCCCAACGAAAGCCGGGCGGCTTTCGCCAAAGCCGGGCGGCTTTCAGCTGCGAGAAATTTCCCTGGTCAGGCATTTATGAAAGCAGGCCGGTCTTTACAAAAGCCGACCGGTTTTTAGTTGCGAGGAATTTCCAGATTAAATGTTGACGAAAGCCGGGCGGTTTTTGGTGGAAACCGGCCGGCATTCGTCGCCGCAGTATTTTCCCAATAAATCAAGACGAAAGCCGGGCGGCTTTCGTCACATGCCGGGCGGCTTTCGTCACATGCCGGGCGGCATTCGCCCAGGGCGGGGATTCTTCCTCCCCTTGCCCCTACAATCCCGACCAAACCGTCGGGGTTACAAATTTTGCACATTACAAACACTCCTATTGCATACAATGGAGTTAATAACATGAGTTTAGGATTTTACCCGCCACAGAGTCCGGGTTAGCACGTGCGTCCGCCTCCGTCATCGCATAGACCCTAGCCTAGGTCTTGCCTTGGTTCACGGATGGCGCGTTACTTGTACTTGGCCCTCCGTGCGCCGTGCTCGCGTGAAGTGCCCTGCTCGGTTCCTACTTGCCGTAGTCCCGCTGCTA